GGCCAGCCTTCGTGTTGGGCTTTCAAATCACTGTGCAGCCACGGAGGCCCCGCCTCCTACAGCACAGCTGTCCTCAGAGGCTCAAGGTCAAGGTGATCCACGCTGCAGCACATGGGCCAGTGGGGAAGATCCAGCTGGCAGCACAGCTGGCTGGAAGAAAGGCATTGTGTCACCGAGTCAGAAGACAGGCTTTCTACCTCGGACTAAGAGGCCAGCATGGAACTGATGCCCCTCAGTCAGCTCCCTCACAGTATAAGCAAGATGTGCACAGCCAACCACTCAGGTTATGGGTAAGTAGTCATGGGCCAGCACAATTTTCTGCCCCAAATTACCATTTAGCGAGACAGAGGCACCTGGAAGATCCTGCCCTCCACTCAGTGCCATCGAGTTGATGCCGACTCATAGTGACCCCATAGGACAGGGTAGAACTGCCCCTGTGGGTGTACGAGACTGAAACTGTTTACGGGAGTCGAAAGCCCCGTCTTTCTCCCACTAGATAATATTAGAGATACACTATTTATTAAAATAGTTGGGCAGGGGTGGCGGTAGGGGCGCTAATCTTCTTACAGTTATTTTATCCTATGAAAACATCGCCTTGTAAACGATGCACTCCTGTAAATGATGCCTTGTAAAATGTGCAATGTTCCATTTATACTTTCAAAAGTGATTCAAAAGAATCAAAGCGTTCTCCCAAAGCACAAGCAGACGAAAACAAAAGACTTACAGATTTGGATTTGGACAAGCTGCCGAGAGTTTGGATCGTCTTTGAGATGAGTGTCAGGGTTCTAGACGTCTGCGGGTCCTGTGGGAGGCGGGAGACAGGAGCGTTAGCTTTGTCCCCGGCTGGGACCCACTGTGGGAATGAGCCTGAAATGCCCACAGGACGAAGGGCATGTCCAGAGAGCTGCAGCAGGAGTGTGCATCCACCCTGCGGGTCCACAAACGTGAGGAAGTGAACGGGGCCGCACACATGTGGGGTGTGGCTCATTCAAATCCTTCTACTCAGCTCTGGCAGCTCTGTCTGGTAAGACTTACAGCCTCGGAAACTCCATCGGGTCTCTGCATGGGAATCAACCTGATGGCTGTGGGCTGGACTTGGAGTCTGGTAGTGGGTGTCTTACATGGGCCATTGTCAATGGCATCATCTAGGAGCTTACTAAAAATGCAACTTCTTAGGAGTCAGACCCACTGAGTCTACACGTCCACAAGCCTCCCTGGTGGCCCCGGTGTACGCATAAGTTTGAGAAGTGCTGCCTTACACCAGCCCTTCCAACCAAGGTGGAATACCAAAAACCCACTGCCGTCGAGTGGACCCCGACCCAGGACTACACGATGGCGGGCTTCTGAGGCTGTATACCTTTGTTTTTTCAATCATTTTATTGGGGCTCCTACAACTCTTATCACAATCCATCCATCCATCCATTGTGTCACGCACATTTGTACATTTGTTGCCATCGTCATTCTCAAAACATTGGCCTTCTACTT